CCTGACTGGAAATGCCAGTTAAGGAGACATTTATATACACAGTATTGTTGGCTTGTGTTTCGAGTTAAGACACTGCTGACAGGATGGTTTATGATGTCAGAAGACTTTTCACCCTGCAGTAAGTATTTCTGTAAAGGTGTCCAATCATCTTTGACAATACCTGTCAACAGGAGTAGTGCAGTAATATTACTGACGCTCTTAATGGTGTATTTTCCCCAAACAATTGCCAAGTAGCTCTCATCCTTATTAACTGTAATACCGGTAGTTCATTGGACGTCCTGGTCCTTATTAACAGGGCGAGTTAACAATTCCTCAAAGTGTTTGATTAAATTTTGACAACATTGCGCGTTATATTAATGATATTGCTTTAATTAGTACCTTTTGCAAGTTGTATTCAGAAAACCCACCTGACAGTAGTCCTGGTTAAATGAAATGAAACAAAAGTTTGTGAAATAAGGTGGAAAAGCAGCTAGAACGAGCATCTTGAGAAAAAATAAATCCCGAGCTACTGGAGATAAACTGTACAAGCCTCTTGCATGGATGCTCCAGCTCCAGAACTGCCTGCCTGTCCATCATCCAGAAGCATATACAGTCAAAGTGTATTTTGCATAACTCTACCGGCTGGCGTACACAGAGAATAACAGACTATTTTTTCTATTAGTTATTCAGCTAACATGAGTGGTTAAGGTCCTAAATTTCTACTCTGCCACTGTTTTAAATGGGGCAGAAAAGTTGTTCCACATGGAATTCCTCATTTCCCCATTTGTATTTTTAAATATAGAAATGAGTGTGTGTAAAAAAAAAAAAAGTCAGTAACCATACTGAATACTAAAGTTAGGAAGTGTGTGCAGTCTTAACTTACCTATAGCACCTGTATGTGTTAGCATGATACCTATTTATCAGTTATATTTCAGTGGTACCTCGAGGCTTTTATCTGTATGTCATCCTTTTCACATGAGCACTCGCTATTCATTCTCAAGATCACTCTTTTCTGTACATTGCACAAGATGATAGATTGTGATTGAGGCAGAATTCTACTGAAAGAAAAAAAATAATACATTCTTTCCTGTCTAGTCGTGGGACAGAGGGAGCTGGTTCTCCCTTTTTCTCTGCCATAGTCACAGTTCTGATGGTCAAGACTAATAATGTATGCACAGAAAGGTGGCATGATGTGTACCCTCTGGGATATTAATACTGGAATATTTAACTTCTAATTATTTGGTGTAGAGTCCTTAAAATTATTTTTATCATCAGATCTGCAGTTGTTTTTATCAAGCCTGTAATTGTTCACACAATTCAGAGATCAGAACATCTGTTAACTAGAATTATTAACTGAGTTTTGAATTAAGAACTCTGAGTTCCTTACTTGCCTGGAATGAGTATGTTAAAAGAGGCTGGAGATGTCAGCAGAACAAAGCTATTTTAATGCCCTTGATAGTAGAAAAACTTACGCTTAATGTCTTCTGGAAGATGTGTATTACAAGAATAGTTCTGCCTTTTGCGTGCACACAAATTTAAACGTACGTTATTCTTTAAAAGACGCTATTTATGCTTTATTTCAAAGAAGCAGGTGAGAAGTGGGGTTGAAAGGAAGGAAAAGAGGAGGTAAATCGTGGAGCCACCCCAGAGAGAACAAAAAGTTAATAGTCAAAGAGAAGCATGTATTAGCACACTTGTGTCTTGGTTAGCCCATTGAAGTCGGTGCAAGTATTTTCCAGTTTCTTGAGTACCATCTTGAGTCTCTGGTATCTGGTCGGGTGCTGTACTGGAAAAAGCAAAATGAGTGATGTGTCTTTACGTCCTGCTTTTTCCGAGATGCATGCTCTGCTGTTAGTTATCCTGTTGGGCACTCTGCAGCCTTCACGGTTGTGGGGCCAAGTCTGCCAGCTTCAGGAGATGTCTGTTTGCAGGGAGTGCAAGAGCACACCCAAAGGCTGTGTTCTGGTGACAGATTTTGTGTACAAGATTGAAATTGAGTGCCGTTGGGTGTGGCAGTTCTGAGGCTTTGGGTGTTTTCCCTGCGTCTTTGATTTTTGCAACGTGTTTCTGTTATGACAGCACCAGACATCAGCCTGGCTTCCTGAAATGCTTGTGCATGTCTCTCCTCTTTTGGTGGCATCTACTGTCTGGTTTTAAATCCCATCAGCTGGTAGTAAGGCATCTGAACAAAGCAACATCATGTAAGACACCAGAGTATCCATAGGGGAGAAAACCCTTAGAAATGCTCCAGCCAAGTAAAAGCTTCAGAGTTCACAAGAAGGTGATTCAATTCTGGAAGCTGCTTTCGTTCCACTGTTGATTTAACTATGGAACGGGATGATGGAGACAACTACCGGAGTGTATCTTGTTTGAAGTTTTATTCTGGAATAGTATACATTCAGCAGAAGGTTTCATGAAAATTTCTTCAGTGACAGTCTTATTCCAGAAATCCATAATAGAGCTTTTATTTGCCAAAATCTATTTAAGATAAATGGCATATAATAAACTAAACTATCCTGTCCCCACAACCTGTTAAGTCACCAAAAAGAATCCCTCCCAGCAATTTTGAGTCATATTTAGCTATGTCCACTTTTTGAGCCCATCTGCAAAAGAAGCCTGCTTATTCCAAAGCATTTGTGACCCTTCTAGAGCATGAAGGAGGAGAGCGAATAGTTTTCCTTGGGTTTTGGGGGTGTATCTAGTTAGGATTTTTTGTTACGCCTGTGTCAGCATTTCACTGAGAGTGAGACATGCACAAGCCAAAGAGGCAGTGGTGGGGAGGGAGAAGCCTTATTCATGAGAGTGCAGGAAGACAGAATGCTCCACACTTCTGACCTGAAGGAAGGATGCTGCTTTATAAAAAGAAGAGCTTGCCCCACTTCATTGTATTAAATTATTACCTACAGATCATTTTGTTTGGATAACTTCTGCGACATTTATTTTCATCTCTGTCCCAGCCATGAGAAATCTGATTTGTCAAAGGTATTTGTAAACTACAGTAACTTCTTGACTGGGCGCTCAGCACTAAAGACCTTGAAAAATTGGCAGAAGTTTTCACCCTGTGAAAACGTTGAGATCAATAAAGCAAATTGATAAATACCATTTCATAGAATATATGCTCTTGGATGAAATGCTCTAACACATAGCAGTAACAGATCATTCCAGGTATGCAACTTCATACATTAAAAGCCAAACAGTTAATGTTGTAAAAGGAAGGATTAAATGAAATGTGATTGACTCTTATACCTTATGTTATAAAAAGTAGCTTCAGTTACATGGGGTTCTTGAGTAACTAAAGTAAGAGGTTACCAGAAAAAGTCAACCCTTAAATTGCAGACAAAGAGCTTCTACTACCAATAGTATTACATCATCAAAATATTTCACAGACACTCAGAAATAAGCTGTACTTCTGTATGTCAGTGAAGCAGCAAATTGAATTCTCATAATATGTTTTGAAAATGAGTCTTGTTAGGTTTGATGAGGTGGAAAAGGTACTGAGATCACTGGTTTGTTCCAATACGTTGAGTGCGCCTTTCTTGGATGTTTGCCATGGCTAATCTTTTTAATGGCAGTGTAGCTTGTAAACCCATTTGGTAGAAAGCCATACATCTCAGTTTCAGAGTATCACACCAAGTAGGGTGGTAAATAAGTTTCTCTTCAAGCATGCAAACCCTTTTGTTATGATACGAGAAATTTTATTTTAACACACCTATCAGTAAAACCTCAGTATTTCCTGTATGAATTCAGTGATGAGCAGAATAAAATGGAAATGTCATTTTAAGTACACCCACACATACACATGTAGATAATAGGCACCAGCCTTATGGGTTTTGTTGGAAGACATTTATCAAGGACAAACTTAAATTCATTCGGGCCCAATATTCAAGAAATTGAGCCTGTCACAAACCCTCTGAATTTCCACAAAACCTGTCTTTGGCTACTTACCCATGCTGTTTTGGAAATGGTCTGGGAAAACAGTGGGCCTTACAGCATGGTGAGCAATCATCAGATTCAAAGTTCTGTCGTACTAAACTAGTGAGAACATTTGGATAAAACGAGGAAAACTTTGGCCTCAGCCTCCTGATAGTTGAACCAGAGGTTGCCACTTCAGGTGCTTTCAATGATTTCAGCCTGTGGACTCACACTGGCATGTTGAGTTAACTTATTTTAGGCTGTTCTGTAGGTTAAAATAAACACTTTCTGTTGCCTGTTAAAGCTGAGTTAGAATGCACTGGAGATCCCATAGCACATTTATAATCACCCCACAGCATAATTACCATTTAATCAGCTTCTATTCCAGATGTCTTTACAAAATAATCTACTTTTTGTTAACACAATTTCATATAAAAGTACAGAATCTTATGTAGTCTGCATTGTTGTCCTTAAACCACATTCCTAATTCCTTGGTTCTGAAGAAGTCCCCTGAAAAGCCTGCTTTCTTGTCATGTCTTCCTTTCTGTCAGCCTTAGAGAATCCGTACAGGTGGGGTTTGTGTACAGCTGCAGAGATCCCAGTGCTCTGAACTCTGTTTTCTGTCAAATTATTCCTGGATAGCTCCCCTGAGAGAATCCTGCAAAGAAATCCCATGAGATCAACCTTTCCCCCCCCCCAGGTTTCCTTTTTCGTCTTCTGCCTATTAGTTTTCCATAGTCATAGCCAACAGCCTACTCTGTACTTGAGTAGGCGTTGAACTGAGTTTCATACTTTCACATAGATAAATAGTCTGCTGTCTTTAAACACTCTCACGTGCAAAAATGCAAGGTAGGAGGTGAGAGTTTTGAAACTGTATGTGTCTTAACGTGTTGGCCTATAGTAGGATAGTAGATATGAGAAGAGAAATAGAGAAAGAGCACATAAGAAAAAAGGGGGGAGGGGAAAAGAAAGATAAGTAAGTATGAGAGGTGTCTAAAAGAGCTACTTTTTGCCAGTTACATTTTTTAATTTGTGTGGTCATTTGAGCCAGAGGTTTCAGGCTGCTTTGCAAAAAGATGCTGACAGTTGTGATTGTGATTTGTTTGCAGTTATCCATACAGCGAGGACTCTAGCCAGGGAAAGCAGTACATGAATACGAGATGTCCAGCCTGGTGCGACAGAATCCTGATGTCCCACTCAGCCAAGGAGCTCATTCTGAAAGTAAGTACGGACCCGCAGCCACCCCACTGCCTCCACGTTGTGTTTATCTTCAACAAAGGTAGGTAGGGCTGACGCACTTCTGCTTGTCTTTGAATTCTCGGTTGCCGGTAGCAAATGCTCGCCAAGCTGGAGACAGCATACCATGGCAATAATAAACTGTTACGCCTCCAGTGCTTTCCACCCAAGAATGTGGATTTGTCCCAGTTAACCTGTTGGCAGTTACCAAAGCACGAGCTTTCACAAACGCTTCTTTTGGTATCTAAGCTGCCCACACTGGCTGCCTGTCATCTCGTCTGTGCCGGTCAGTGCTGTACTGGGATGTACAGCACTGGGAAACTGTGCCTGCTTTAAAAGAGAATAACAAAAAATTAAAAACCTCCATCAGTCCCCTAGTCCAGTCCACTATACAGTAACATAAGTAACAGTACTGCCCTTACTAAGGATTCAGCACAGACACAGACAGAAGTAACTAGGAGTGGCTGCTGACTAAGAAGTAATGCTTTTGAAAGAAAAACCTGTATAGCAACAGCTTGAGGTACCCAAATTACAAGCATGGTAGATTTAGTTTTCCTCTGTTGCTGATGGTGAGAACTGGATTTCTCAAGAACACGTCAGATCCTAGATGGGCCACATCTCCCATCACTGTCCCCTGAATGAAGGCAAAGTCTCCAGCAGGTAGGCTCTTAACTTTGGTACACCAATTAAGTGCCTAAATTTAGACATTCCATTAGAGCTTTAAAAATAGGATTGTGCAACATTTTTAGAACATAAAGTTCCTGTTGGGATTTTGGTGTGTAGAGGTAAGGTAAGCTTGGTGATCCAAGGTTAAATGACCTAAATATAGTTTAGGGGCCTTCCGGTTTTCCTTTTCTCCCATTTTCTCTCTCTCCTGCTTACTCCGCTCTGCTCTCCTCCTTTCCTTGGAAACACCGAACGAGGTCAGCCAGTTACATATGCCAACTTACACTGCCTCTGTTTTTTCCTGTGTGCTTGTTCATGGCAACTGGAGACCCGTCCTATTTACGCTGACTATCAGTTGTTCTAAAGGACCAAGAACATATCAGGAAGTTGATGTATGACACAAGATCTCACCCATGCCTTTCTGCTCTGAGCTAAATTGTCCCTGCTGTGCTAGCCGTGGCCATGGGCGTGATGCAAGAATGAATGTGCTGTGACTTTTCAGCACTGTTGCACTGAGGTCGTCTTGCTGACCAGACTGTATGACTCGCTCATACATAACAGACTTACCAAACCCAAAACTACACAAAGTCATATGTCTGTCTGCATGTTCCTGTACAACTAATGCAGTTTAATGAGAGTGAATTGCAGAAAATAATCTTTGCAAATAAATCTGTATTCTGCAGCTTCATGGCTTTTTTTTTTTCTGTTTAAATTAATGAAACCCTTGAAACTTGCTGTCCTGAAGTTTATAACCTTCTGTTTCTCTCTCTCATCAGGGTTATTTATGTCATGATTAGACTGTTTGCTTTGCAGTATATAACTCACTGAAAGGCTCAGAACATTTTTTCCGTAGCTACTCAAATTTCAATTTGATGTACTTCCTCACATGTTTTAATGTGTAAGAAGTGTCTGCATGATATCTTGAAGTTTCACTGAAAATTTTAGACAATGCATGTACTGCAGTATTTAATTTAAAAAATGGTGAAGCTGAGAGGAATGCAGGCTTTATAGTAAAATAGTAATGTCAAAATCAGTGTTATTTGATCCTTTTCTACAGAAATACCATATGAAAAAGTGAGACTTTACCCAAAATATTACAGATAGTACTTGGCGCCCATGAAATTCCTAAAGAACAAAGGATTAAAACCATGGAACGAGTGGCCA